GCCAGCTCTTCTGCAGGCTGAACAGCCCCCTCTCTCTCCCCCCACCTCGTCTGGCAGATGCCCCAAACCCTAAATCTACCCAGCACCGTGTGCTGTGGCATTTCAAAGTGTTTGGTCACCACCGCCACATCTCAAGTCACTTTTGGCGGGAGTCAGCGGGGTGCCTTCACCTTTAATTACCCTTAATTCCTTTTCCCCCGTATTCTTTCCAGTTGCTTTCTGAAGCTCTGCAAGCTGGGAGCATCCTCAGCCCCTCAGCCCGGGAGGCAGAGGTGACTGCCCACCCACTAAAGCCACCTCCTGTGCTGTGCTTTGCACGTAACGCTCCCCTAGCTCGTACTGCTTCTGCCAAAAGGGACAAATTGTTCCTTTCTCCACTCAACCCTCCCTTTATTAAACCTCTATCCTATCTGCTTTCAGTTTTCCTTTCTGCTTTTCCAAACCCCAATCCAAGGAAATCATTCCTCATATGGGAACTGTTCTACAACACGGTTTCCCTTTCTTGTTCTTTCTGTGCTGTTCCTGTGCTGCTGTGTCCTCGCCCAGATGGGGCCAGGGGATGTGACTCGCCCTGAATTCAAGATGCAGGTGCCCCAGACACTCATATAGTGGTACTAAGCTGTTTGCTGGTTTGCTTTGTTCTTAATTCCTACTGATTCCTAACATTCAGTTGCCTTTCTGCCCACTAAAGAGTACTTGAGCTAAAGTTGTCGTTAAACTATTACAGAAAAGATCCCATTTCTGGGTTGCTTAGTATGATGCCCGTCGGGCTAGGAGCGCTTTTTTCCACAAGTACTACTGTAAATGTGTCGATACTAAATTTTATCTTTTTATCACTCATTTTTCATGCTACATGTACTTATGATTGTCACTCAACTTGGTCACCCTTTTTCACAGCACTTAGAGCAAAGAGTGAAGAGCAAGGGTCCTTGCAGCACCCCATGACTTCCACTGCGAAATCTGGTCACTTATTTCTGTCTTTTGACCAGTTATTTAGCCCCTGTGGACCCTTCCTCTCATCCAATGTAATTTCATTTCTTTAAGAAGCTTTGACTAAGGACTTTCTCAAATGTCTTATGGAAATGTAAGCAGGCTGTATTCATCCAGGTCTCTTACGTACATGTCAAGTCCTTCAAAACCTCACTGAGGCACGGTTTTCTTTAAGAAAAAAAAAAACCAAAACCAAACAGTATTGATTCTTCCATGATCTGTTTTGTTCCTTTGGCCACTTTTCGAGGTTTTTTTAGAATGGTTTCTACCAGCTTGCATTGTGTGCATGTCAGAGCTGCTTATTCCTCTGGGAAGTTTTGAAAGGTTGATCTTGCATTTGTCACCTTTTGAGCTTTTGGTGCTACGACAGGTACCAACTGCTACCCAAGTTTGTAATCCAGATTCTTCATACTCGAGGGCCTATAGCGCTCTCTGGAGAACACACCTGTCCTGGTGACTTGTTTGTTTTCTTCCTTTGTTCATTTTGTTGCTTTGTTCTGTGTTCCTGCTGGTCCTTCAGCCCAATACAGATGCTGTCCTTTAACACAGGTGTAGGGGCACAGCTGGCCACGGGGCTGCCTCCACTGGAGAGGCAATGTTAAATGCAATGCTTCACGCTCCCTGTGATGCTTCACGCTCTCTGTGGCAGGCTGTGTCGCCTGGGCAAGCAGCGGTGACGTCCTGAGGCCCTGAGGACCTTTGGAGGCTTCGTTCCTGTTTCACAGCCGCCATCCAGCTGAGAAGTGTGCCAGATGAAATGAACTGTGCAAGAAGGTTCATACAAATAACCGGGTTTTTATTATTGTTGTAATCACTCTGGCTTGCTAGTTTCTATGGTCAAAATATATTTATGACTCTGTTTCTAAAAAGTCAGGCGCATTAGCTACTCTAAAAGGAAAGTACCAAATAATTTCCTTTATTAGCAGTGTATGTTTAGGTGAAAGGCTTTAATTTTGTATGTATACAGAGAGCAAATGTTCTGCACAGACAGACAGTGGTTTTGCACAGACCAGGAGACTTCAATTTTAATGTTTACAAAACAGAAAGATTAAAGGGCTTAGATTATTTGGTTTTGTCAGGTCAAAGGGAAGATTTAGAGAAGGAGCATGGAAGGTTTATTGCTATGGTGTAACTCCTATTTGGGCTCAGTCCTGCAGTTCTACCTCACGTGTGTGCTCTTAAATGACTGGGGAAAACAAAGAATCAAGAAATAACTGAGAAACATCCAAGAAGCTTCAACATATTGGTTAACTGGACATCAATCCAGGTCACCATTAAGCTGCAATAAGAGTGATGGGCAGTAAAGTTTCCTACATACATTCCTACATTTGAACATAGTTCAAAATACAGAAGTGGAAAAAAATAAAAAAAAAAAAAACCAAAACCAACAAAAAACCAGCAACTTGAATTTACATTTAAAATCAAATTTGGATAAACAGTTTCACAGACATGTTTGTTCTGGAGTTCCTCTGCAAGAGATGCAGCTGACGTGAGCAGGCAAGAGTGAACACTATCTATAAATGAGTTATAAACATTCAAGTATCACTAAACATGGCCTGATTCTGCCTGTCTTCCTTGCAGAGTGCCGGGATCACCCTCCTCATGGCTTCATTACAGGCAGGGACTGAGGTGCTACTCAGTGTAAAGAAGAGGTACAGAATCAGGACTGCAAGGAGCAGCAATCACAAAGTCAACTAACTTAGAGGTTGCTCAGGGCTAGATTTTTAAAAGTATTAACAAAAGCTGTTAGAAACTAACAGCAGGGGCACTGCTGAACTCCATCGGGTGCTAATATGTATTGGTAGGTCCCCAAATGCCTTTAAAAATCTGTCCCCAGTGCACAGTTTCCTCATTTAACAGGGAAAAAAAAGGAGAATTACTTAAATGTTGGTGAATTCATTGAGCCAGACTTTGGGAAACCACGGGGACTTCCACATTGACACCTGCTCCTTCAGAAGCCGGCATGCTTGAAACAGTCCCTGGTGGTATTCATTCCCTAGCATGAACCCCGTGTTTCTGCACAGAGCGCATGGATGCCATGCTGCCCGCTCCTTACGCCCGTGGATAAATCCCTTGCAGCTGGTGTGGATGCCGAGAGGTGTGCTCCTCTGCCAAATTTGATCTTGGACAAAGCTCAACTGAACTCCAGAGGAGTGGAAACAGTGATGGGTGGTACGTGGCTCTCGGAGCTGAACCCTACAGCACATGTTCAGTCTTGTGAGCACTGGCTACAGGGTAGGACTTTCAGCATTTGTCTTGCTCCAGCTTTATTAGCAGCATGTCATGAAATCCAGTGCAGCTCTGTGAATGATGCTAAAAGCGGGGATTTACAGGGAATCTATTAGAAGTGCACTTTTGTCATGCAGAGCCGTGTAATGGATCCTGCTTCCTTGGCGGGTGATGAGGCAGAAGAAGGTTAATACTGTTGACAGCAGAACAAGTCCAATGAAAAAAAAGGCTGCGAGTATCAGGCTGGTTTCTCCAGGACTCAAAGTTTTTCCAAAAAAATTGCCTCCTTTACTGTCATGATCTGTTAAAAGAGAATTAGTTATTGAGAAATCTATGTGTTAATCTGAAGAGTTTAAAATGACATTTTAAGAAATCCTTACCCTTTGCAGTGGTCTTATTTTTTGCAGTAGTTGTATCATATATTCCAGTTGTGAGTCCTCCTTCTGAAGGAGCTTCTAGCTCTGTGAGGAGAGAGAGAAACCGTAGTCAAGTTGAAAACCTTAATAAACACTTTTTTGTCTTCTGGAAAAGTAGCCTTGATTCCATTTAATTCCTTCTGCCTTGTTGATCTGAACAGAAATCATTATTAGATCAGCACAGCTATTGCTCTGGGCAGCTCTGTGGGCATCGTCCCCCTTCTCTATAGGCATCTTTGTTACTTCGCTACTTACTGTAGCGATAGGACGAGGGGTAAGAGTTTTAAACTGAAAGAGGGTAGATTTACATTGGACATAAGGAAGAAATCTTTTACGATGAGGGTGGTGAGACAGTGGAACAGGTTGTTCAGAGCAGTTGCGGATGCCCCATCCCTCCAAGTGTTCAGGACCAGGTTGGATGGGGCTTTCAGCAACCTGGTCTAGTGGAAGATGCCCCTGCCATGGCAGGGAGGGTGGACTAGATGATCTTTAAATGTCCTTTCCAATCCAAACCATTCTATGATTCTATTCTGCATTTTCTTGTTCATTTGAAGTTTCATGGCCCAAACAAGTATGTGTTATAAAATAAATTCACCTTGTCCAAGGAATGAGTTTTTTGGCTACATTTGGCATTACATTTGTCATCCTATTGCTACAGGGTTACAGGTACAAGAAGGTGTGCCTGCTGGCACTGTTGCAGCCCCAGCAGAGGAGTGTAGCAAGCACAGCAGGGACCCAGGCAGGAGATGCTGGACCCAGATGTTAAGTGAAATTATGTGATGTGGAGAGGCTCACAAAGAACTTCTGACTTCACTCAGAAATGGTGGAAGAGACCAGCACCGCTCAAAAAGTTTACCAGCTTTTCTTGGTCAAAAGATCACCTATTTGTTGGACAGGATGAGCAATCATTTTCTGGAGCATCTTGTATCTATCTCAGCTGGTCTCTGCTCATGCAGGAAGGAGCTTGAATAGCTCCATGAGCCAGCAGTGATTGCAGGGAGGAACAGCACCGTGCCAGTTTGCAGACCCTCCCACACATCACGTGTGCAAGGCTAAAAAATAGCATTGCAGTTATTTTCTGCACCACCCGTGGGTGACTAATGGCTGCCACTGTCTTAGAGGGTCTCTTGGGAAGCACCAACTGTTTTTAAGTTGCAGAGTGCAGCAAAGATTACTGTCTTTGCCATGTCTTTAGGGGTGTCTGTCCTGTCCCTAGACGATGCTAACTGGCCATGGCAGTAATTTACAGGTGCTTCCCACCAGCATGCAGGGTGCAGGGTTGACATTAGCTCTCTTCCTTTCCTCCCTGCCTTCCATCTGATCTGCTGCTATACCACCTCCAAGTTCTAGGACATGTTTCTGATACCGCACCTGATTTATTGATGGTGTAAGTCGTCTCCATGCCAGCGTGGATGTGATCGGCTACGTGGCAGTGCAGAAGCCACGTTCCAGGGTTTTCTGCTACAAGTTCAACTGTCTGGAAAGTCCCAGGAAAAAGGTCATACACATCTCCTCTGTGGTCCTTATCTGTCTGTGGCAAGGCAAAACCAGCATCGTAAGAGTCTTGTGTCAAATACCCACCACAGGCACTGAAATATTCCAGTTAGACTTTCAGCTCCTCAAGGCAGATCAAATGCTTCTTGGTGTACATTTCCAGTGTGCCTCACACAGGGAAACTGAGGTCTGTGGATATCACTCATTTAATCAATCAATGAATTAACAACAGGAGACCCCTCCTAAGGGCTCGTTGAGCACAGGTGTTTCTTTGAAAGACAGATAGTCCTGCCAGTGTCAAGCTGTCACAACATAAACCCATACTGTAAACAAGCATAACTCTCTGATTTCCTCCCTGTATCTTCCCTTATACCCATGGGTAATATATATTTTAACCCACCTAACCACGTCCTCTAATAGTGACCTTTATTCATGTTGCATAGCAGGCTCTGAGTGGTAGAAGCTTTGCAAGGATCTCATTCATTTTGTATTTCCTTCGCATGCAAAACTCCCACCGATCTCAGCATCAGCCCAGGTCTCCATGCCCAAGCTGCAAAACAAGGCTAGAACCTGGACTTTTTTGCAGTAATTTCCCATCACACTATAAAGGTTTTACTTTGATTAATTTTACCAACCTTAAAGATGAAGGTCTGTGCATGGAAGTGGACTGTATGTATATCCACTTCATTGCCCATTCCAATCAAATACCAGTTTGTCCTATCACCTTCATTCATCGTTAGACCCAGGAGACTGTTGTAAATCTTCCCATTGATTGCTGGAAGAACAACAAAATAGGACTAATTAATAACTGGCCACAATATGGGTGATGATAACCTCCACTTCAGGCACCCTTTGCACTTTCTCTCTGGGGAGAAGGGGTGTCCAGGCAGAGGGGGGACACGCACATGTGGCCGGGGCAAGAGCTCTCCATAGTGACCACTGCCACTGCAGGGAGACAGTCGCATTTTTGTTTCAGTTTCCAAATCATCTAAGTGCACAGCAACACCTATTTTTCTGTCTTGAAAAGCATTAGAGACATTTTTTACTGGTTGAGATCAAACTCCTGAACAAACAGGATTTATGTTGAGAAGCTGCATGGAAAAAGAAGGAATAGAGTTGTTGCCTAAAATGGGTACCATCTGTAGAAAGAGAAGTTTGCTTTGCCAGGGCTGTTCCTGCCCCCATCCAGTCTGTTCTGCCTGGCTCCTGGGCTGGTTGCTACTACAGCCAAGGTTTTAAAATGTTATCCTTATGTTCGTACAAAACAAACCTGCAAGGAATGCAGCTCCCAAATGACAGGGGAAGTCTGGCAGGGCAGCCTCTTCCCATGAGTATTAGATTAAACTATCTTGTTAGAAAAATATCTTGGCTGGGCCTCATGAAATCTTTTTCTTTCCAGAGTTGCAGCTTATGAAGTTGTCACGTGGTTGGGTAGCTGCAGGCTAAGTCCAATGTCTTCCTAAAAGAGCTGTGAAAAATAAACCTCTGTCCTCTTGGCTGCTGCCACCAAGTCCTACATACCATGCATGCTGTTGCCTTCTACAAAGTTCTCCGTGGAATTAAAATCATCAGGATTCTTATGAAGGTATGTCTCAATATTTTCTTTCAAATACCAGGATTCATTTTCATCAAATACCATAAACAGAAGGGTAAATTCACGATCAATGTCTTTTCTTAGACCTCTTTCATCTAGAACTCCTTTTCTGCAAACTACGAGAGGCCCAATCAGACCGCTGTATGTGTCCTGAAATAAAATAAATATATGCATTACAAATTTTCTAGTTCATTCAGTTATGAAATAGATACAGATTAACTACAGATTAAATAAAGATGAAATTCCATTTTCCTATCAGATGACAAAAAATTATGACTCTGTCTGATTAGAGATATCTTTCTCTACATGTCCCTATGTTAATGTACCAAAGCAATGTTTTGCCTTCACCCAAAATCCCTTCAACTGTTCTTTAAGGAGGGAATCACATTACCACAGTGTATCCCTGGGGATTTCAGTAGATTAAATTACCCAGGCATCTGCAACTTTTATCAAAGACGACAAAGCATCGAGCTCTGTAAATCATTCCTCCAGCCTGTGGTCCTCACATAAATGAGAAGCAGGATCCTTTCAGAAACATTATGCAAGGCAGGATGCTTTATCCAGAGCAATGTAATCTTTAATGACCATTTCTTCATTACCTTTACAAAATTCACTGTTGAATAATAAACCCAGGTGATACAGTTTGGATCTGTTTTACCAGGGCCAGATCGTTCTGGGACGTTCCACCTGTAGGTGTTTATTTCCCCTGAAACAGAGAGGACAATTTTACCAAGAGCAGCTGGGTGCTAGAGGCTTTGAATAGTATGTAACTGAGATCTGCTACCCTCCTCATGAAAAAATGATCTGTATCCAAACTATCTGTGTAAGCATGCAGCAATGGGATGTGGACATGATTCTGCCTTCCAGGAGGTCAGTGAGGTTCCAGTGGTGTAAACAAAGGCAGATAGCCCCCAGAAAAGGAGATCTGAAAATTATGCTGGCAACAGTGGCATCCTCCAGAGGGAAGTTTGGAGATAGGACTTTTCATCTTTCTCCATGGGCAAAATTTGTAGCAGATCAATGATCTTGGATGCTGATGCTTAAGGTCAGTTGAAGGTGTCAGGAGCCAAGCTCCAGAAAATATTTCCTGGACTTTCTCAGTTGAAAAGGGCACAGAGATGTGGCAGCTGCCCCTGGGATTTTGCAGACGGCGCTGCAGCAGTGCATCAGCTCTGGGCCAGGAGAGGAGAGTTGAGTACGTACTGACCTGCTGACTGGGAGCAACAAGGGTATCCTTCCCTTTTCCAGCTAAGCCCCTCTCCTCAGCAGTTACTGGAGAACCCCTGTCCCTTCCTGAAAGCCATCACCTCTGCCATGTCCTCCCTGAGCAGAGATTCCCTGACCTCTGATTTGATTAAAAAACCCAATCTAATGGGGAAATTATCTATTTGGGTGAGGATGAGTTCTCTACACTGAACACAAACACATCTATGTTCAGATGAACTGCCTGTGCTGTGTTTCCCTGCTTTGTTTTTTTGCTGGTTCTACAGGGAAGGGTAGGAGACCAAGATGTGGTCAACACCTTGCCCATTTAAGTGGTGGAGAAATGTTGAACCAGGCAGCCTCTGGCCCAAAATTCTTCCAAGGTGACAAAACCCAAGAACAGCTGGGGACACGCTATGAGTCAGGCAAAAACAAGGAAATCACAGAACTTTTGGTCATGTACAGCCACAACCCAACAGCTGCGGGCATCAGGGCAAAGGAGACTTTTCAAGCTTAAAAGGTTGTGAAGTGACTGAGCCTAGTTTTGTGTCAGTGAGACACTATACCATTTTGATGGATCATGCAATAGTGGATTTTATTGTATGGCAATAACTACTAAAAAAGAAATGGTGACTCTCAAGTATCATCCTATATGAGCTGAGTTTCACGTAAATGTTGCAATATATCCTTCAGTCTTACAGGACAAGCACCTTCTGTTCATTACAGAATGGGTTTATGCACTTCAGCAGAGATCAGAAAGGCTTTCAAGACACAACACTACACTAATAGGTCAGAAAACATGAACAAGAAACCCCTCAGTCTCAGAGGCATTCATGCCATGGAGACGTACACCAGGGAAGAGTTTTTCGTCCACCTGTATCTAACCTACATGTCATCACCCCTTTTTAGAGGGCATGATGTGAGAAGAGAGCCTGGCCATGGTCCTTCACCACTTCCTTGCTTTTTACTCCTCACTTCAGGATGTTTGGAGGCTGTAGATGGAAAAATCTCCACTCTACTTAAAACCTGAGACACTTCAGATGGCACCAAAGACCTATCTTTGAAGTGCAAATGAAGCATAACCCCTGAAAAGACTGATAAACAAGAGGAAAATTGATGTTTTCTCCCTTTTTGCTGCTGGGTGAGTGGAGGAATGAACAGGGAGAGGACAAAGCTGTGGCAGCTGAGAGCTGTTTCAGCTTACAGTGCTATTGATCTGCTCTCTACATCTCTTTACCATGCCACCCGCAGTCTCTTTAGGACCTGGCAGTGCTCCTGGGAGGACAATTTAGCAGGACATAAATCTGACCGATAACTGGTTCAGGATTTAGTAGGACTAGATGTGCTCTGGGGAGCTTCGGGTGAGCAGTCCAGCCAGGCCTAGGAAGACAGACAGCAAGGATTTCAAGATGATGGTGGTGGGTACTGAAGTGTCCAGGAATTATTCTTGTTTTGAGGGGCTTGTTTTCCATGTTAACTGCTGCTTCCGCACTCCTAAGGAAAAGTCTGTCCTTAGATCTTGCTGAAGAGTCCTTTCTTTTGGCTTACTGTCAAACGCAGACACCTTCCCTTGTCTAACTCATCCCAAGCCTGCTCCCATGCGGACCCAGGGGACATGACAGTAGCGTTCCCAGTGTTACACCTCAACTGTCAACAAAACAGCATCAACAGCATCATGGAGCAAATAACAAAACAAAGGAATCATATAAATCAGCTCCTTTTTTTTTTTTTTCCATATATTAACCACAGGTATTCATTCATCAAACTCCAGCAAGGCAGACGCTGGCTCACATTTAGCCGTGAATTTGTGTGGTTGTACTGTATCAATATAGCTACCTACAGGAAAGAGATTTCAGCTTCCAGAGACGTTCAGTATATCAAAATTTCTTTTCGTTTAGTTTCACACTGAAGCTCACAAATACCGTGAAAAAAATTGCATAGGTGATGGAAAGAAAAGGAATGTACATTTTGGATTGACTATAATGCCTGGGTTTGAGTTTGGCTTCCTACTAGAATATAAAACCCAAGATAAAAATTGGAGTACAAAAATTTTAACAGGTATTTTTCTATATGAAAAATTTCAATGCTGTGAGAACTATTTTCCGCTATTTTCCTCGTTAGAAACTGAGGCATATTTGGTACACTTCTTCAAAGACTTTTAAATCATGTGAGAGTGATATTTTGCATATTATGCATCAGTTCTGAATGCAAATGCCAATTCTGTGTACATTAAGAGAGGGGCAGAGTTAACATGGCCAACTGCAACTCCACCACTGAATTTCTCAGTTTCAAAATGTTGTTAGAATGTCAGTCTGGAGCAAAGGCAATGCTGGCTTACACTTCTCTTGCCATGGTTATGGACCTGCTTCTGCCTTTTTTGGAGGTTGTCCAGTGATACTACATTCATGTTTCTATCCCTGATAGAACAAACGTTTATTCTCTGCCCGGACATGCTCACTTGATCAAGAACCTACATGTAAAACAACACAGAATCATATCTGAATAAATGCTGAGCATATTACATCTGGAGGAACATACAGTTATGTGTTAGCTTGAAAAAGGGATTATCATTCAGGTGTTAAAAAGCTTTTATATATGGCCTTTGTAGCTCAAATTAAAAAAAAAAAAAAATCCAACCAAACAACCACCTTACCAGGGAGGGTAATTGGTGTCTCAGGTTGTTCTTCACAACCGACTTCTTCTATACCGTGTGCACTTATTGAATAAGGCCTGCTGGCTTTGTTCTTAAATACGATCAGAACGGAGTCACCAACCTCAGCATGGAGTAACGGCCCTAAATTAAAACAGGAGACACTAGTGATTAATGCTGCTTCTCTGAATTTTAACAGACTTTCAATAGCTTGGCCTAGGAAAGGAGCCATGGACTTTCCCAAAACCCTCAGGCTTTTCTGTTCTTTCAGTGAGGCCATCAAAACTTGTCTGTTATGTCAGCTGATGAAAAGCTCCATATATATCAATAATCTTTTTTCTTTTCAGTCAATGAGAAGAACTGTTCACTCTAGAAACAGGTCTTTGGACAGCTTGTTTTTAAGGAAAACTTTTGTGGATGGTTTTCATATCTCTCAAAATTTTATTTCTTAAACTGGTAATGGCTTTTATTTTTAACTATTTTTTTAGCTTTGCACTGCAAAAAAGGAAATTCCTAGGGAGTGTTGGCTACTTTATGACCAGTTGTTGCCCACTTCTCATCCCATAAAAAACATAAGCTGATGATTATTTTATGACACGCTTAATATTTTGTCTTGCCAAATTTCAAATACAAATCCAGCCCCTTAATATTGGCTTAATCTACCTACAAAAGCCTCCACCGTGTTACATGCTCTGACATTAAGGTGAATCCTGGAATTGCCTTTTTTGCATCCTCCTTGTTAGTACTCCTTAAGAAACCCCTTATTCGGTGTTAACAAAGCTGGGAAAACTGGTTTTGGAAAGCAATCCTCTCACTTATCAGGCTCAGTCTGTGAGCTGTGAGATCTACTTGCCCAGGATTTCCAAGTGTTCCTCCTCCTCCATCCTCACTTTGCGCTGCGTGAAGTTGCCGTTTGTGTACTCCCTGTAAACCACCTTCTTGTATTTTGAACCGATCAGATCTTCTGCTTGGCTCAGGAAAATATGCCCATAGCTGCAAAATAAAAAGGCAAAAATTAAAAGCTCTAAACCTCACATATCTAAAGGCTAATAACTGTTGTGTTATCACAATAGATGTGATAAGAATATATGACTTGCTCCAACGTGCTGATTGATGTGAAGCCCTGCATGCTGCAAGAGATTTTAAACAGCAAATAACAAGAGTGATAATCCTGACTAAATGCACACCCTCTTCAAACAAGTAAAGCTGAAGATATGTTGCACTCACCACAAACTTTTGGGAACACAAATCCCTCACCAGAGCTGTCAGAGCAGAGATGAAGTTCAAGATAGGAGTGGGTTTGGCCACTCTTTCATAAAAGATAGTGTCTGTCCTGGCAAACCTGAATCCTCTTACCACAATGGCTGCTCTCATTATCTTGGCTATTAGTCAGCCACAGGAAGATGATAACCAAAGCCTAACCTTACAAAAGCAAATGTTGTCGTCTCAGATAAGAGGGGGGCTGCTTTACCCTGCCCTCCTGCTGCTGCGTCCTGTGCAGGGCTGGATGTTTTCCCACCATAAAGTGGGATAGTGTGAGTGGATAGTGAAGATATAGTGAAGATAAAGTGAGAAATGTATTTTCCCTTCTGCACTTGGCAGAGAATGCTTTTTTCGTGCCCTCCAGGTTTGTGCAGTCACCCACAGTTTGTTGCTGCTCCTGTGGGATCCCAGAGGGCTGACTCGCCGGCAGAGGACACTCGCCACCAGCTGCGGAGGAGAGCACTCACCCTGTTCTGAGAGCAGCGCTGTCTCCTGGCAGCTCACCTCCAAGGTGCCCCTGGCAGGGGAGTTGTGAGGTTGGCTCACAACTTACTAAATAAAAGCAAAAAATGCCCCAGGAATACTGCTTACTGTAGTAATATACTGTGCATGCAACAGCAGCCTTTGACGATACTGGAGTTAATATTTTCTTTAAACACACTTCATCACCTGTGGCTTTTCAGGTATATTTTCTACCAACTCCACTGTACTCTTCCTCTTTACAAGGTGCAGTTTCCCAGCCACTTTCCTAAGGTTTATTTTTGAAATATGTTCCTTGTTCCTTTTTGTTTTCACCAAAGTGGTCTCGGAGACCTCCTTATGCAATATGACCTGGAACGCGTACCTTCTGCACATGCTTTTTATTCCTTAGCACAGTGCAGTGTAGATGTGATTCACTTGTGGCTGTTACTGCATTCTGACTTTTCCAGAGGAGGCAGGCGCTGCAGTGAAGCAGGCTCAGCACCTCCCTAATGCATCTGCACTGCTCGCAGGGGCTCACATCTGGGACAGGTACCTGTGTTTCTTCTCTATGAAAACCAGATCACTGGGATGGGGAGACTGGAGAGGGTGAGGAAGGGAGAGGAGGGGACTGGGGGGCATCACTGTTGGGTTGAGCCAGGGCTGGAACACACACATGGATTTAGGGAGTTGGAAGCCTTCTTGGGTTCAACAGCATTACAAGACACTCTGACACAAAAACATTTGAAAGTGCTGCCTGTGAACTAGTCTAGTCTGAGAGGCTGTCACTTCATAAATATGTTTTCTCTTATTTTGTTCAGCAAAGAGTGCCTCCTAAAAAGCACGAGGCTGGCTTCATGAAAGGATGCTTCAAAGTTCCCCCTCCACTATGAGTGTGCCCCATGCCCACTCATGCTTTGGGTTTTTTGCTTTGGGTACTGTCCTGGTTTCAGCTGGGATAGAGTTAATTTTC